TCCAAGATTATCTTCTGTGTCTGTGTTAATTGGTTTCCCTTTTCTTTGTTGAAGAGGGTCTGTGCAATCCTTCTGCCTAGTCCGCCATCTTGCCCCGCCTGTACCCCCTGCTTTTTGGAAGTCTGCTTTACACCACTTTACTTTTACAAAAGACCTGCATTAGTACCTTTTCACTAACTGAAAGAAATCCAAAGAAGATTTTTGCTTTTTTGAAAGATGAAAAGCAAAACTAGTATTCTGTGTTTGTTCTGCAGCAAGCCTTAGAGAGGCAGCACACATCCTGAGTGGCTAGAGTAACATCACCAAGCTCCTTCCCCGGGAACTACACCTCAGCATCAAGTGCCACAGCTTTCAACTGTGTCTCTGAACACTATATGTTAATATTATTTTAGGTTTTATGTGTTATTTGGTATGGTTTGGTAGGTTATTTTGGGTCTGAGTACATGCAAAAATTTTTTCCGTATCAATTAATGGTAATTGCTTTTTCACTTTACACCATTTCAGCTTATTAAAGGATTCATAGGAACACCCTACTTTCAGAGAGCAGGGGAAACCTGTACTGTTGTTATTGTTGTTAGGTGCCATCAAGTCACCTCTGACTCACAGCGACCCTATGTTCAACAGAATGAAACACTGTCTGGTCCTGTACCAGTCTCCCAATCCTTGCTACACCTGAGCCCATCGTTGCAGCCACTAGGTCAATCCATCTCATTGAGGGCCTTCTCTTCTTTCATTGACCCTCGACTTTACCAAGCATGAATAATATCCCTCTCCAGGGAATGGTCCCTTCTGACATGACCAAAGTAGGTGAGACAAGTCTGGCCATTCTCACTTCCAAGCAGCATTCCGGTTACACTTCTTCCAGGACAGATTTGTTAGTTCTTCTGGCAGTTCATGGTACTTCCGGTATTTTTCCCCAACACCACAACTCAAAAGCATCGACTCTTCTTCGACCTTTCTTTTTCATTGCCCAGCTCTCACACGTATATGAGGCAACTGAAAACACCATGGCTTGGGTTAGGCGCACCTTAATCTTCAAAGAGATACCTTTGCTCTTCAGCACTTTAAACAGGTCTTTTGCAGCAGATTTTCCCAGTGCAGTATGTTGTCTGATGTCTTGACTGCTGCTTCTATTGGTATTGATTGTGGAACAAAGTAACATGAAATCTTTGACAATTTCAATCTTTTCTCCATTTATCATGATGCTGCTGTACTATGCTCCTTGTTACTTAATCATTCAGTAATTCTTTGAAGTAGGTATCCTTGAAGATAATGAGGCTCAGAAAGGTTACATAACGTATCTAGTCACACAGCTTATAAGGGATGAAACTAGCTTCCAACATTGCAGTCAGGATGGTTTCTCAAAAACCCATGCTCTTTGCATTACAATACATTGCCTCCCAGAATGCTGTAGTAAAAAATGATCCCTTGAAAGCAATAACTTCCCAATCATGACTTCACAAGAATAGTTTTTGCCATCATCTCAATCACTTTCTAAGAGGCTACTACAGTTGGGGCAGTCTGCTAGTTGCTGGGGACACAAAAGGGCTTAACATGCAACTGGTGAAAGAGTCATTACACACAGGACAAATAAGAAGGCAGGGTGTCGTGTAAGAAATGACTAATGAACAGTATAGAAAGGAGTGTAAAGGAGGAAGACTTTGCAGAAAAGGTAGGACTTGAGTTGTGTCTTGAAGCAAAGGAGAAGCCATATAAACAGGCTACTGAGTTAAAGAACAAATATCCCAGCTTGGCTGTAATATAAGGTTTGTATGTTAGAGGTAGGAAACAACTGGATATGAAAATCAAGTTTAGGCTAAGAAATTTGGACTGAATTCTGTAGAAGGTGAAGTGATCCATTTCTGACATCTATCCTTTCCTTAGTTCCATGTGTCTCACTCTTGCTGTTGTGTGCCATCGAGTCAATTCTGACTCATAGCAGTCCTATAAAAAATAGGGCAGAACTGCCACATAGGGTTTCCTAAGCGGATATCCTTATGGGAGCAGATCACCAGGTCTTTTCTTCCAAGGAGCCACTGGTAGGTTTGAACTGCTGACCTTCTGGTTAGCAGTTGAGCTCTCAAACCTTGTGCTACCAGGGTTCCTTTGTCTTACTCATCTCCCTGCTTAACAGTATTTCTAATGTAAGAGAACCAAGTTGATGACTAGTAGTACGTAAAAAATAAGGGAAAGACATGACATCTTTGAAGGCAACAAAATAATTATAACTTGAGGATACTGATATTGGTGGCCTCAAGGGCAGTGGGTCTCAACCTGGCTGCACATTATATACCTGGGAAGCTTTTTAACTATCCACATCCAGGGCTTCATGCCCAGAAATTCTAATAGGTTGAACCAAGGAGCCCTGGTAGCATAGTGCCTAAGGCACTTGACTGCTAACCAGAAGGCTGGTGGTTCAAACCCCGCAGCCACTCCTCAGAAGGAAGGTTGGGCAATCTACTTCCGTAGTGATAATGCCTCGGAAACCCAAGGAGGGGTCACTATGAGTCGGGTCCAACTCGACGGCACACAACAACAACAAGGTTGAACCACATGAAACTGTCAATATTTGATCATTTTTAACCTATAAAAAGATAAGAAATTGCACATAGTTTAACAGCTTATGGTAGGGAAAGAAAACTAGTCCTCCCCCCCTTTTTTTTTTAACTTCTCCAGGTGGTTCTAATGTGCAGCCAGGGTTCAGAACCACATCTATGAATGAAGATTAAGAGAGAATTCAGAGCTGGTCACTCCAAAAGGTTAGAGTTGGAAGTTCAGTAAGAAAGATCAAGAGACCTCTACCCTAAACCCCACCTCAATAACTATTCCTATTTCTGATAACCTGAAAGTGATCAGATCCACAGCTGGGACTAACTTTGGGATGTACAAAAATGAAACAAACTTTTTTGGCCTGCCTTTATTCTGGATTACTCCCTTGTAGAGCCCTGCCTAACCTAGACTGTGTTAAGGTTTAGGGACAAAGTCCTAACAATCAATAAAATATTTATCAGCTTTGCTATGTTCTGTATACGTATTTCCAATGAAGACCATATGAGAAAAAATAAAACAAAAAAAAAATCCTTCCCCTTCCTATAGTAGCAGTAATTAAAGGGCAAGAAAAATGGGAAAAGAAAAGAAAAAGAAGAAACATTTCAAAATTCTACCCACCTCGAGGAAATACTGTTTTATTTCTAATTTTGACTTTTTTGGGGTATTCTAGACACCATGGACAATACCATAACAGTAATTCAAGTTCACCATGATTATACTGGCAGATAATAAGCAAATCACACAATAATATATTTCATGATTTTCCATAATCATTGAGAAAAAATCAAGGTGGACAAATGAAGAGTACAGATACCTGCAAACACACCAAATCAAGCAAAAAACATGACCTAGCTCTCACCTCCAGCTGCCGAATCGCTGTTTCCCTCTCTTTAATAAGTTCCAGATCTTGCTCAGTGATGGCTACCTCATCCTCTTGGCTTTGCATCTGGTTCCAGTCCTCATGGCTGCAGGGAAACAAGCACATTAGCTGATTCTTCTTCTCCAAGATGTATACAAGACATGTCTACAATATCTCTATTGCCAGTTGAGCCGGCCAAAGACCATTATCAGGGCTCAACTTCTTTGGCATCAGCACCCAGTCCTGGAGGACCACATTCTCTGTATCTAGAGGCAGAGTTGATAACACCCAAAAAGCAAAGTCTCGGCTTCTCTGGGCAAAACTGAGATGAAGTAGGATTATGAGGGATGTTTCTATTTGTGATATACTCTGCAATCCTTCTAGGGCTTGCTAGACAAGGAAAATAGCCAGGGATTTAAAGTCAATGGAGTCTAGCAGCCCGTCTTCTTCTAGGGCACTCTCAAAGTACAAGTCATGTTGGTATCCTGGGTACCAAAGGAGTGGAGGAAACCAAGCTAAATGGCCATCAGTGCTTTGCTAATTAGTCCAGATTACATCTCCTGATATGGAGGGATTTCCTTGTGAAGTTATGCTTTGAGTTAAATGTCTCTTTAAAAAAAACAAGTAAAAAGCTACTGAAATGTGATTAACTCTTCTTTTCAGGTACCATATTTAAAAGAAAGGTGTATCACACATTACATTAGACATGAAACACTTTGAAAACCCAGTATTAAGCATTCTTTCCAACAGAATATATACATCATACTTATCTCTATCGTATTTAAAGAATGTCCTCCATGTGCTAGTGATATAAAACTGAGTAAGAGAGAGTACCCCATGCTTTTGAGGTACACATAATGTTTGTTTGGGGGTGGAGAGAAAGAGACGTATCTAATATAAAACCTACTGCAGTTCTGAACTAATCTCAGGAATACATTTCTATGTGAGTAATTAATTCATTTTGGAGAAGTTAAGAAAAGGATACAAACTGTTTGCTTTTTTTTTTTTTAATACTCTTAGAAGGATGAGTTGCCCCTACTTTAGAGATGACTAAACAAAGGCCCAAGAACCCTGAAGTACTTAAGTATGAATTACAGGTAAAATTATTAGACCTCCTAAACTATAGATTTATGGGTTCTTACTTAATCCTAGTGAGCCAAGCTCTCTCCCCAACACACGGACATTAAGGGCTTCTTCTAGTTGTTTATTCATCTTGAAACCACTCCTTCCATAATGCAAAGATCTTGGAAAACTCCATGGTTTTCACTGTTTAATTTTATTTTGTGGATTATAAAATTCCCAGCCCCAAGTCTCCCTTTATTTTGTCCTCTCTCTCACTGGTTTTCAAAATTTAAAAACTGAATAAAGACATAAAATCCCATCTTCACTATACAGCTAGGTTGTATGAATGATTCCTTTACCTGTCAAATGAGACGAGCTGTTCCTCTCTTTGCCTCTCCTCTGCCTAGAAAACAGATGGTATTATTGCTGCTGTTATTTAGAAACATGTCACAGACAGACATAAAAAACAAGGGTTTACCCTTAGCTATGGTACAGAAAAATGACATCCCTTCGTTCTCATAGGTCTATACAGGGCTCAGCAATCTGTCTACACTAGAAAATGGGTCTGAAGTGGTTGAAGGCAAATCTGCATTCCAGTTTGGGACCAGAACAGAAACTGAACAGGATGGGGAAAACATGAGTGGGAGAGAGTTAAAAACAGTAATAACCTATTTAAAACTTTGGGGAAAGGGAGATTAAGGGACAGAGCTGAAAACTTACAAGGAAACAAATTCTCAGAATACACATAGATTTATTAAAATTGACATCTATAACATTTTAAGTACAAAAGTGGCAAACTCACTTCAAAATTAGTCTACTGCATGTATTATTTTTGTAACTTAAAAGCAAAATTTAAAAAGTAAAAGCTTTTAAAGGACCAATCTTCCCATTAAGAGGAAAAAAAAAAAAAAAAAAAACCCACCTTTCCCTTTTTACAAATGCAGTAATTAAAGGGCAAATAAAATGAAAAAAAAAGAGAAAGAAAAATTTCAAAATTGTAGTCACCCAGAGGAAATACTGTTTCACTTGTAACTTTGATTTTTGCATCTTCCCCAGATTAAGAAACAGAACACTGTTAGTGTCGTAGAAGCTTCCTCATGTGCCCTCCCTAATCACAACTGTATCCCTTGACCTTAAAATAACCATGATCCTGACTTTGTGATAATCATTTCTTTGTTTTATAAGAATAGTGATATAATATGTACCCTTATTCAGTATAGTTTTGCCTGTTTTTGAGATTTACATAAATGGAATCATAATGTTTGTTTTATTTTGTGCTTTGATCACTCCAAATTATGCCAGATTCATCCTTGATACTCAATACAACTTTAGTTTGCTAATTTTCTTTGCTGTATAATATTATAATGTATGAGGGGTTGTTATGAATCAGAATTCAACTTAACGGCAGTGAGTTAGTTTTTTTCTTTATGAATATCCCACAATGTTTTTATTCATTCCAATGTTGATGGACATTTCTGTTTCCAATTTTTGATCACTATGAATACAGCTGCTATGAATATTTGTGTACATATATCCTAGCATACATATTTACAGCTTTCACTAGGATAGAGTCATACAGTATACAAGTGTTCTAAACCAAAAGATATTCCAAATGGTTGTGCCAAGTTATACCACCAACAACCAGACAGAAGAGTTCCTGTTGCATCATATCCATAACTACTACCCTCAGTGTTCACAGTTTAAAATCGTTGCCGTCTTGCAGACATGAAATAGTACCTCACTGTGATCTTAATTTGCAATTTCATGATTACAAAGAAGTTGAGTACCATTTCATTTGTTTGACCATTATTCAAAATAATAATAAGACGCTCTTTTTTATTCTCTACCCTGTGTTAACATTTGCACTCTTGGTGCAAAAGCAATAGTGCTAGTTGTCATTATATTCTTCATTGCCACACCTTCACAGTAAAAACAAAACAAAAGCCAGTCTGTCCTGGATGAAGCCATACTAATTATTAATTAAACCTTAATTTCTCAATGCATGTCTTTTTAATATTTTATATAATTACATGGGAAGTATACATAAAACACTTTTGCTGCATGTGTGACGATGGTCTCAAGGAAAACCACTTGTATAATTGAGTTGCAAGCTAAATTAGCTACTTTTTTTTTTTTTTTAAAGAATACCATTTTTACTTATGACTAAAAATCTACAGTTATTCAGACAGGTGTTTGGCAGATAATTTCTTAAAAATAAATAATGTGAGTCTGTCAAAGGAAAATAACTGATAGTACTTATTGCCAATGATAAAACACAGTTTTCAAATAAATTTAGAATTTTGGAAAATTTTTCTCTACTACCATAAACTTGACATTTTCCCAATACTTAAAGACTTTTCTGATGAAAGTGATGGTAATACTACCAAATGTGATTTTTTAAAAAATATTATACAATGAAATAAATATATCAACATTTGGAAGACCAAATATTTTTCAGAGAACCAATACTTTCCAAATGATAAATACATGATAATATGTATTTGAATACATAGTATTACAAAATTATGCATGGGTAAAAGATGCAATCAAAGTACAAGATAGACCAAAATAAAAACCAAGCTCACTGCCATTGAGTCAATTCTTACTCACAGCAATTCCCATTGAGTTTCCAAGGCAGTAAATCTTTACAGAAGTAAAGACTGCCCCATCTTCCTAACATAGAGCAGCTGGGTTTGAACCACCAACCTTCTGGTTAGCAGTCAAATGCCTTAGGTACAGAGCCACCAACGCTCCTTACAATATCCAAAAAACCAAACTCACTGCCATCAAGTCAGATCCAACTCATAGCGACCCCTCCTTGGGTTTCCAAGGCAGCATCACTATGGAAGTAGATTGCCCAATCTT